ATTAACTTGATATTAGTAACCTCCTGCTCTGTTGATTTCTCCCGAGGATACTAGCATCTTGGTCTGGAGGCATATGAAACAAGGCCACCTACTCAGCCCCCAAGGTGGGCTGAGGGCTGAGGTTTTGTTTGCTAAAGAGTAAGTTAAGTGCAATTTTATCTTTAAGGTGGACTCCTTCTTGCCTTTGACTGTGTTATGGCTGGGCTTGCATGCTAAATTAGTTTGCCCAGTTTGCAAGATCACTTTATCAGATCTGAAGGAGGAAAGACAGCACATAGGGCCTTTTAGCATGTTAAAGTGAATCTTACACATGATTAGAAATGATAAGCACAAAATAAAAATGTGCTACTCTTCTTTATATGGGGTACACCAACTGATCTCACTGAAGAATGACTCTAGAGATGAATGTTTAACACAGAGTTTTAGTAGGGGGTTTCCTTGCATGTAGTTATGTTGCTCTGACTGCAAATATCCTGCCTTGCTTTTTCCGGAGGCCCTCACCTTACTCTGACTACACCCATGGTCCCTGCCTCAGAAGGATAGTACACGTAGAAAATCCATCAACATCACCCACCACATCAACAAAAAGAAGGACTAAAACCACATAAACATCTCCACAGGTGCCGAAAAAGCATTCGACAAAATTCAACATCCATTCATGATAAAAACTCTCAACAAAATGGGTATAGAGGGCAAGTACCTCAACATAATAAAGGCCATATATGACAGAGCCAAAGACAACATCATACTTAACAGCGAGAAGCTGAAAGACTTTCCTTTAAGATCGGGAACAAGAAAAGGATGCCCACTCTCTCCACTTTTATACAACATAGTTCTGGAGGTCCTCACCCAGCAATTAGACAACACAAAGAAATACAGGGCATCCAGATTGGTAAGGAAGAAGTTAAACTGTCTGTGCAGATGACATGATATTGTACATTAAAAAAACCCTAAGGAATCTACTCCAAAACTACTAGATCTAATATCTGAATTCAGCAAAGATGCAGGATACAAAATTAATACACAGAAATCTGTTGCATTCCTACACACCAACAATGAACTAGCAGAAAGAGAAATCAGAAAAACAATTCCATTCACAATTGCATCAAAAACAATTAACTATCTAGGAATAAACCTAAGCAAGGAAGTGAAAGACCTATACTTTGAAAATTACAAGAAACTCATTTGAGAAATTAAAGAAGATAACAATAAATGGATATACATCCCATGATCATGGATAGGAAGAATTAATACTGTTAAAATGCCCATCCTGCCTAAAGCAATCTACAGATTCAATGCAATTCCTATCAAAATACCAACAGCATTCTTCAATGAACTAGAGCAAATAGTTCTAAAATTCATATGGGACCACAAAAGACCCCAATAGCCAAAGCAATCCTGAGAAGGAAGAATAAAGCTGGGGGTATTACACTCTCCAACTTCAAGCTCTACTACAAAGCCACAGTAATCAAGACAATTTGGTACTGGCACAAGTACAGAACAATAGGCCAACAGAACAGACTGGAGAGCCCAGATATAAACACAACCATGTATGGTCAATTAATATACAATAAAGGAGCCATGGACATACAATGAGGAAATGACAGCCTCTTCAACAGCTGGTGTTAGCAAAACTGGACAGCTACATGCAAGAGAATTAAACTAGATTATTGTCTAACCCCATACACAAAAGTAAACTCAAAATGGATCAAAGACCTAAATGTAACTTATGAAACCATAAAACTCTTAGAGTACAACATAGGCAAAAATCTCCTGAATATAAACATGAGCAACTTCTTTCTGAACACATCCAGAGCGAGGGAAACAAAAGCAAAAATGAACAAATGGGAGTACATCAAAGTAAAAAGCTCTGTATAGCAAAGGACACCATCAACAGAACAAAAAGGCATCCTAAAATATGGGAGAATATATTTGTAAATGACAGATCCAACAAGGGGTTAACATCCAAAATATATAAAGAGCTCACACACCTCAACACACAAAAAGCAAATAATACAATTAAAAAATGGGCAGAGGATTTGAAGAGACAATTCAAAGAAGAAATTCAGGTGGCCAACAGACACATGAAAAGATGCTCCACAACAGTAATCATCAGGGAAATGCAAATTAATACCACACTGAGATATCACCTCACACCAGTTAGGATGGCCAGTTTTGAAAAGACTAAGAACAACAAATGCTGGCAAGAATGTGGAGAAAGGGGAACCCTCCTACACTGCTGGTGGGAATGTAAGGTAGTTCAACCATTGTGGAAAGCAATATGGAGGTTCCTCAAAAAAATAAAAATAGAAATACCATTTGACCTGGGAATTCCACCTCTTGGAATTTACCCAAAGAATACAAGTTCTCAGATTCAAAAAGACAGATGCACCGCTATGTTTATTGCAGCACTATTTACAATAGCCAAGAAATGGAAGCAACCTAAGTGTCCATCAGTAGATGAATGGATAAAGAAGATGTGGTACATACACACAATGGAATATTATTCATCCATAAGAAGAAAACACATCTTACCATTTGCAACATGGATGGGTCTGGAGGATATTATGCTCAGTGAAATAAACCAGGTGGAGAAAGTCAAGTACCAAATGATTTCCTCATTTGTGGAGTGTAACAATGAAGCAAAACTGCAGGAACAAAACAGCAGAAGACTCACAGACTCCAAGAAGGAACTAGTGGTTACCAAAGGGGAGGGAGAAGGGGATTAAAGGGTATTATGTTAAGTACACATGGTGTGTGGGTCATGGAGAAGATAGTGTAGCATAGAGAAGGCAAATAGTGACTCTGTGGGATCTGACCACAATGAAGTATGGGTGGGGACTTGATCATATGAGTAAATGTAGTAACCATATTGTTTTTTCATTGGAAACCTTCATAAGAGTGTTTATCAATACCTTAATTAAAAAATTAAAAGACATAGGCTGCAAACTCTTGAACATCAGCATTAGTCATTTTTTTCTACATTTTTTTTTATATTGGTATCATTAATATAAAATCACATGGGCATTACTGTGGTTACTAGATTCCCCTCATTATCACGTCCCCATCACATACCCTATCTTCCCCATGCCCCCCCTACATTATGTGCAGCATTAGTCATTTTTTCTGGATGTCTCCCAGGCTAGAGAAACAAAAGAAAAAATAAACAAGTAGGACTACATCAAACTAAAAAGCTTTAGCACAGCAAAGGAAATTACCAGCAAAACAAAAAGACTATCTACTGAATGGGAGAATATATTTGCAAATGATATATCCAAGAAGGGACTAATATGCAAAATATATAAAGAACTCATGCATCTCAACATAAAAAAAAAATCTAATGCAATTAAAAAATGGGCAGAGGACCCAAAGAGCCATTTTTCCAAAGAAGACATATAGATGGCCAACATACACATGGCAAGATGCTCAAATATCACTAATTATCAGGAAAATGCAAATCAAAACCACAATGAGAAAATGTCACTCACACCAATCAGAGTGGCTAATATCAAGACAAGAAATAACAAGTGTTCACAAGGATGTGTAAAAAAGGAAACGCCCTTACACTGTTGTTGGGAATGTAAATTGGTGCAGCCACTATGGAAAGCAGTATGGAAGTTTCTCAAAAACCTTAAAATAGAAATACCATAATTCCACTAGACCCAGTAATTCCACTTCTGGGAATTTACTCAAAGAAAACAAAATCACTAATTTGAAAAGATACATGCACTCCTATGTTTATTGCAGCATTATTTATAATAAAAATATGGAAGCAACAACAACAACAAAAAATGAAATCCTGCCATCTTTCGTATTAGAGGATAGTGACAACATGGATAGTATTAGAGGGTATTATGCTCAGTGAAAGAAGTCAAAGAGAAATACCATATGATTTCATTTATATGTGGAATCTAGGAAACAAAACAAACAAATAAACAGACTCATAGACACAGAAAAGAGACTGGTGGTTGTCCTAAAGGAGGGGGAGGAGAAAATAGGTGAAATAAGTTAAAGGGGAAAAAAATTGGAATGTTTGATATCTTATCTGGGTGATGGTTACATGAGTGTATAAACATGTTAAAATTAATCAGAGTGACACTAAGATTTGTACATTTTATTTTATATACCCTAATTTAAAAAAGGAAACAAAAATAATCAGTAGCTCTATCTTCTGCTCAAACATGCATAGCTAGAAATTCTTAAGAATATCCCCTCTCTTTTAATGAGACCTTAAGAAAAGTATTTCAGAAATGATCTTTGTGTATTACTATATTGTCGTTTCACCATCACTACTAGCAGATTTGTTTTAATTATTTCTCAAACTTTTTAATTGTTTAAATAATCAATTTCTCTACAAGGTGGTATTTTATTGAAGTATTTCATAACAGAGGCATTATTGACATTTTATTTTGTTTTTTATTTTTTTGCATTACTGACATTTTAGAGGGCAGCTTGTCTACTATGCAATCTGTCCTGTGTTCTGCAGGATATTTAGATACCTGACTAAATGCCAATAGAAATCCTGTTCTCCCACAGTGACAAAACTGACGCACCACACATTATTTCCAAACATTCCCATAGGGATCAATACCACCCCACTTGAGAAACTACTCTTGTAATGCATGAAAACAAAGTGCAAAAATTACAAAATAAATAGATTTAGAATTGAAGTACCAAAGAATGAAAAACATTTCAGTTCCACACAAAAGAAATAACAAAAACATTTTTCCTTAAATTCAGGAAAGTCATCTTATAAATCAGTTTTCATCATTAACTATACTACTTGGTTTCCTTCCCATATAATTTTCTCCAAATTTTTTAGTTGCAGTATATGACTAAATGCAAGTAACCAAAGATGGAATCACTTTTTGATTGTTTTCCCAAAGCCAGATTCTTTCTCCTAAAGAGATATGAAAGCGAAGACAGAACACTCAATTTGTTTACCATCTTTAAAAAACTGTTTTTGTTAATTATCCTAACATAGTCTCCTATTCACAAACCTGTTGGTGTCCCAAATAATGACATTTCCGTCAAATCCTGATGTTACTAAGAGTCTTGTATTAGTATCATATTCGATGTTCTTCACCCAGCTAGTGTGACCATGTAAAGTGCATACTTTGGTGTTCAATTTTCTCAGATCCCATAGTGCTATTGTAGTGTCATCAGAGCAGGTAGCAAACAGCCGGTTATCAAGAAATCTACAAAGCAGAAAAGAAAAACTGGTTTATGTAATCTCTTATTAAAGAAAACAGTGAGAAACAGTCTCTATATTCAAGTCTCTCTAATCAAGAGAACAAACAAAAAAGGATTACAAACTGTATAAACCCAGTAAATTCTGATATACAATAAATAGTAAATATAATTCACATAATTACAGGGAAGTATACTATGATATATTATGATTTAATGAAGGTCACATTGCAATTTTATCCATTTTCCTTATTGACTTTTATTTGGACCTGGAAATAGAGTGGGTGTTTGGAGGACAGTGCTAGAGAGAAAGAAGAATTTTATAATCTATATAGGAAACACAAATGGTATGAGACAATTGAATAGGCAGCAGGAGATTTTGAAAACTTGATTGATAAGGGAGACATGTTACATGTAAAGGGTTCAAAATTGTGAGAAATGTTTATTACAAATAAAGTCTGTTCCTATTTAGATTAAATTTACAAACAAAAATTGCTATTAAAATGCCATACATTTTATCTGTAAATTAAAGACACTACCCCAATAATCTTACTTAGCAATATTTTACTAGGGCCAGTCAAGATTACAAAATAAACAATTAAAATACTCTATAATTCAGACTTTTAATTATTTGGCACTAATTTCTCAATCTTAGTGAGAAAATATTTTACACAAACATTTAAAAAATAACAAACCTATTAATCACAGTTGAATTTCTGCCTAATTCAGTATTCAAATGCTTTCTCTAACACATGCTTATATGTAACTTCCTAATCTCTTGAAGAAGAAATGGATTCTGCAGCTTCTTCAAAGATAAAGTTATATATAATTATTTCTATCAGAATCAACATCAATATCCTCAAACATTATAATGACCTTCCTGAAACTTAACGCACTTTAAAAATTCCTGGCCTTTGTATAGACGTTACTGCTACCTGCAGCCACCTTCTCCCCAACTCCTTGTCTTGGCTAACACTTGCTCTCTTTTTCACATTCAACTATCATTCCCTCCAGGAAGGCTTCCCTCTCTATCAGCCTGGGGTAGGTTTACCAATTTTCTAATACCCCAAGCACTCTATATTTTTATTGTAACAGCTAAGTTACAGCATTACACTGTAAGAAATAACTTTACAAGGCTATAAACTCCTTGAAGGCAGGTACATAATTCATGGTTAGATTAGCAATACCCAACACACACAGTGCCAGGCACATAATAAGCACTCACAAATATTAAATGAACACATGAGATAGAAATTCATTGCCTAGTGGAGAACACATTATAAACTCATAATTATACAAAACAGTTGTGTGGAATAAGCAAAGCAAAGACAGTGGTTAAGAAAGACTTCAAGGTAGTGTCATTTGAACTGACTTTAAGAGACGAGCAGTAAGTGGCCAGGGGTTAAGCAAAGGTACAGAGGCATGTAAGGGGATGCTGTACTCTGAGAGGCAACAGCAGTCAGGAGTGCTGGGTGTGAAAAGTAGAAATACAAAAATATATCATGGACTTATTCTATAGTGACTTCCAGTAACTCTTTCTTAATTGTAAATACATGTGCATTGAAAATATTTCTAAAATGGAAAAAAAAACCACCACAAAAAATAACCAGTTATTTATATTTAGCCTAATTCCTGTATTTAAAGCCTAATATGTCATATTTTACAATGTCATTAAAGATTTATTGACAAAATCATTCTTAATGACTGAATAGCATTTACTGTATGAATGAACTGTAATCTTGTTCCTTTTTTAAACTTAGTATGTGACTGTTGGATTTAAATTGCTTCCAATTTTTTACTATTAAAAAACACTATGATGAACACCTTAATGAATATTAATGACATCCCTACTTTTGTCTAAGTACATTCCCAGAAAAATGTATTGCTAAATAAAAAGATTTTTTAAAATGTAAGGCTTTTGTACTTGACAAGATAAAAGATGGCAGTGTGAGAAATGAGACAGAGGCCTCCTCCTAAAATCACATATAATATGAAAATATAATGAATACAATTAATCCTGAAAGAGCAACAGGAAAAAAGGCTGTGCCAGACTGCATACACTTGGAGAAAAGAACAGGCCTCACAGAACAGGGTAACGTACCAAAGCCGTGATACGCCATGACCCAAGCCATTCCCCAACCCCAACTAACTGGTGGGAGGAAGAGAAATGAGTGAGGAGGGAGTGGAGGCCTATGATTGCTCTACACCTAGCTCTGGAGATCTGCTCTGGGAGCACAAACCAACATTGCACAGTACTCTGGTGATTAGTGGGGTTGGAAAGCTAAGACAGGCAGAATACCTGGAGAGACTGAGATTCCAGCTGCTTGTGGAAAACAGATCCATATCCGGCTGCTCTGGGTGGGCGGTCTGAGGGACTTACTAACACTGAGAGGTCTGCTAACAAGGTAAGGCCTGACAAAATTGTCCAGGTGCACTCTGCACAGCAGGTTGGGATATTTCACAATCGTCAGGAACTCCATCCCCCTAGCTGACTATGCAGCTCAAAGACCTGCCACCATGATATGCAGCCTGATGTGCCTTCCAGCCCACACCTGGGTTGCAAACTGGCAACCCCTTCCCTAGTGTCAGGACAGCACCGCTAACAGCAGCAACAAATGCAAAGCAGAGTGGCTTACACCTGTGTGTTAGGCCCACTGGTTCTGGCAGTAGAAACAGGCACAGCAAACGGAAATCAGGAAACAGCTCTTTCCACCCCCAAGGAAACAGCACTGCTCTCCTGCGACCCCCAACATCACTCCAGGGGTTGAACAGCTCCAGAGACTAGAGCTTCTGGGCACTAGAGGGCGCCACACACAAATATGAAATGTCAGGGGAACCTGGTTCAAACCAAAATCCCACAAACCACAGGAAGAGGACGGAGTAAAACTGAACTCATCAATCTTCCTGAAAGAGATTTCAAAATAAAAATCAAAAACATTCTCAGAGAGATACATAAAAATATTCAAGAACTCAGGGAGGAATTTAGGATGGAGATCCAATCATTAAGGAACACAATGGAGGGTTTTAAAAGCAGATCAGATTAAGTGGAGGAGACAATAAATGAAATAGAAATGAGAGAAGAAGAATACAAAGAGGCTGAGACATAGAGACAAAAAAGGATCTGTAGGAATGAAAGAATATTTAAAGAACTGTGTGACTAACCCAAACAGAACAATATTTGTTTTATAGGGGTACCAGAAGAAGAAGAGAGAGAAAAAGGGATAGAAAGTGTTTTTGAGGAGGTAATTGTTAAAACTTCCCCAGTCTGGGGAAGGAGATAGTTTCTAAGGCCATGAAGGTACACAGATCTCCCAACAAAAAGGACCCAAGGAAGACAACACCAAGACATATATTAATTAAAATGGCAAGCATCAAGGATAAGGACAGACTTTAAAAAGCAGACAGAGAGAGAATGAAGATCACATACAAAGAAAAACCCGTAAGGCTATCATGAGACTTCTCAGCAGAAAACTTACAGGCCAGAAGAGAGTGACATGATATCTTTAACACAATGAAGCAGAAGGGCCTCAAACCAAGATTACTTTATCCGACAAGATTATCATTTAAATTTGAAGGAGGATTACACAATTTTTAGATAAGCAAAAGCTCAGAGAATTTACCTCACAGAAACCACCTCTACAGTGTATTTTGGGGAGACGGCTATAGATGGGAGTGTTCCTAAAGCTTAACAGCTGTCACCAGAGGTAATAACACCAGAGTAAAGAAAGTATAGCAGTTAATTACTAAGCAAATGCAAAATTAAAACCTCCCCCAAAGTCAGTCAAGGGGTAGAGAAAGAGTACAGAATATGATACCTAATATGTAAAGAATGCAGGAGGAAGAAAAAGGAGGAAAAAAGAAAAAAAGAACCTGTAGGTTGTGTTTGTAATAGCATACTAAGTGAGTTAAGTTAAAGTCTTAGATAGTGAGGAAGTTACCCCTGAACCTTTGGTAACCACGAATCTAAAGCCTGCAATGGAAATAAGTACATACCTATTGATAATCACCCTAAATGCCAATGGTCTGAATGCACCAATCAAAAGACACAGAATCACTGAATGGGTAAAAAAACAAGACCCATCTATATTCTGCGTACAAGAGACTTACTTCAAACCCAAAGACATACACAGACTAAAGTGAAGGGATGGAAAAAAAAAATTTCATGCAACTAATAGAGAGAAAAAAGCAGGAGTTGCAGTACCTGTATCAGACAAAACAGTCTTCAAAACAAGGAAGTCACAAGAGACAAAGAAGGACATTATACAATGATAAAGGGGTCAATCCAACAAGAAGACTTAACCATGATAATTATCTATGCATCCAACACAGGAGCACCTACATATGTGAAAAAAATTCTAAAGAATTAAAAGGGGAAATAGAATGTAATACATTCATTCTAGGAGAATTCAATACACCACTCATTCCAAAGGACAGAGCAATCAGACAGAAAATAAGTAAGGAGACAGAGGCATGGAACAACACATTAGAACATGGACCTAACAGACATCTACAGAACTCTACACCCAGTAACAGCAGGATACACAATCTTCTCAAGTGCACAGGGAACATTTTCAAGAATTGATCATATATTAGGCCACAAAAAGACCATCGGTAAATTCAAAAATATTGAAATTCGACCAACCAGTTTCTCAGAACACAAAGGTATGAAACTAGCAATAAATTATGCAAAGAAAATGAAAAATCCCACAAACACATGGAGGCTTCACAACATGCTCCTAAATAACCAATGGGTCAATGATCAAATAAAAACAGAGATCAAGCAATATATGGAGACAAATGGCAACAAAAATTCAACCTCACAAAATGTGTGGGACGCAGTGAAGGCTGAGCTAAAAAAGGAAGTATATTGCAATACAGGCCTACCTCAGGAAAGAAGAACAATCCCAAATGAACAATCTAAACTCACAATTAATGAAACTAGAAAAAGAAGAACAAATGAGGCCTTAAGTCAGAAGGAGGGACATAATAAAGATTAGAGTAGAAAGAA